AATCTGAGCATGAATCTTCTTAACCTGAGTATGATTAGCTCGAACTCTTTCTACTGTCCCATGCTATGAGGAGTCCAGGTAGTTTCATTCACTTTCAAAGATTTCATACTGAATATTCTTCCCAGATTTCTTGAATAGGAAGGAACTTTTGAAATGACTCCTTTTCAATGAATTACTTTAAAACTGAGAAAACTAGCCTAGGCATGTTGGTTCATGCCTGTAATCCCAGCACTTTGGAGGACGAAGTGGGTGGATCACTTGATGTTAGGAGTTTGAGGCCAGCCTGGCCAATATGGTGAAACTCCGTCTCTACTAAAAATACAAAAACTAGCCAGGCTTGATGGCATGTGCCTGTAACCCCAGCTATGCAGGAGACTGAGGCAGGGGAATCGCTGGAACATAGGAGGCAGAAGTTGCAGTGAGCCGAAATCATACCACTGCATTCCAGCCTGGACAACAGAACAAGAATCCATCTCAACAAAACAAAACAAAACAAAACAAAAAACAAACAAAAAAACCTGATCGATTCTGGTGACTGCCTTTCTATTTCTAATGCTAGTGACAAAATTAAAATTCTCATTACGTCTTTCCTGGATTATTGCAGTAGTCTCCTCACTTGCCTCTCTGCCTCCAGTTGATAATCCTATACACTTCCATTTGAGTAAACTTATCAAATACCAGTGCTTGAATAGATTCATAACGGAGTGGTTCTTACCTTGGCACTAGGAATGAATTCATCAAAGGAAACTGAGAAGATGTAACTATTAAGGTATTTAGCACATTAGTAAGCATAATACAACTAACAAACCAAGCATAGATGATGAATATCATGAAACCAAGATTAAGTTTCATGCAATTCTGGGCCCATTTGCTATTTAAAATGAAGAAAACAAAAAAGTTATTTGATTACTTGAATTTTATTTCAGTATTTTTTCTTCATTACTATTCTAATTATTTTAACTTCTACTCTTTGAAATCCTCTTACCAGTCAAATTCTGAAAAAACTGAATAAAAAAGTGTCAAGACGGAGGCCAAAACATCTACTTCCTTACTAATAAAATGTGAGTTGGAGGATGTAGCTTAGAATTAGGTAGATTTGCCATTTAGTTGGAGGCAGCCAGAGACAACCAAGGCCTCTCTACTTCCTAGCCTCACTAGTATTATAATTTCTCTAATACACGTTTTTAAATCTCAAATTTTACTTTTGTTTCTTTTTATGGACCACATAGCAAAGGCTGCAACATTTATAGAAGCCCATTAAATAGCATCCCACTTCCTTGCCAGCTTTCTGAAGTATTGAAATATTATAAAAGGATTGCCAATAGAGATCAGAATGCCAGTTTTACTATTGACAAATGGTAAGTAGGAGGGCTTTGTTCTAGAACCAAATGGGCTTACTGAATATGCTAAAAATTAGGTAGATTTACCAAATGTCCTAGTCTGTTTGTACTAATATAACATAATACCATAAGTTTATAAAGAACAGAAGTTTATATCTCACAGTTCGGAAGGCTGGGAAGTTAAAGATTAAGGCATCAGCTTCTGGTAAGGGCCTTCTTGGTGCTTCCTCAAATGGCAGAAGGACAAAAGGGATAAACCTTTTTCCTCATATAGCAAAGGAGTAAGAGCAAATTAGCCAAATGCTTCGTGGTCTCTTTTATAAGGGACTTAAATACTACTTATGAGGGAGGAGATCTCATGGTTGAACCACCTCTTAAAGACTCCTCCTCTTAAAATAAGCATAACTCATTTTGTTGCATTTTTCAGATATTATGCCTTTCACAAATTGAAGGTTTGTGGCGACTCTGCATTGAAGAAGTTAGTCAGTACCATTTTTCTAGTGGCATGTGCTCATTTTGTCTCTCTGTGTCACATTTGGGTAATTCTTGCAATATTTCAAACTTTTTCATTGTATTTTATGATGACGTGTGATTAGCATTCTTTGATATTACTATTGTAACTGTTTTGCACTCCATGCACCTGCCCATATAATGCAGTGAACTTAATAAATGTATATGCTCTTACTGCTCTACCAACTGGATATTTTCTCATTTCTCTTTCTGTCTCTGGGCCTCCCTATTCCAGAGATGCAGCAATAATAAAATTAGGCCAATTAATAACCCTACAATGGCTTCTAAATATTCAAGTGAAAGAAAGAGTTGCATATTTCTCAATTTAAATCAAAAGGTAGAAATGATGCTTAGCGAGAAGGACATGTCAAAAGCTAAGATAAGCTGAGCCTCTTACTCAAGACAAATTTTGAATTTAAAGGAAAAGTTTTTGAAGGAAATTAAAAGAACTACTTTAATGAACACACAAATGATAAGAAAACAAAACAAAACAAAAGCCTTGTTGCTAATATGAGAAAGTTTTAGTGGTCTGAATAGAAGATCAAACTAACCAAAACATTTCTGTAAGCCAAAACCTAATCCAGAGCAAGGCCCAACTCTCTTCAATTCTTTGGAGGCTGAGAGAGGTGAGGAAGCTGCCGAAGAAAAGTTTGAAGCTAGGAGAGGATGGTTTATGAGGCTTAAGGAAAGAAACTCTGCATAACACAAACATGCAGGATGAAGCAGCAAGTGCTGTTGTAGAAGTGAGAGCAAGTTACTCAGAAGATCTAGCTAAGGTCATTGATGAATGTGGTCACACTAAACAATAGATTTTCAATGTAGGTGAAACAGTCTTCTATTGGAAGAAAATGCCTCTAGAACTTTCATAGCAAGAGTAGAAAAGTCAATGCCCAGCTTTAAAGCTTCAAAGGACAGGCAGACTCTCGTTAAGGGCTAATGCAGTGGGTGAAGCCAGTACTCATCTGTCATTCTAAAAATCCTGGGGCCTTTAAGAGCCATGTCAAATCAACTATCTGTACCCTATTAATGGAACAACTAAACCCAAATGACAGCACATTTGTTTACAGCATGGTTTACTGAATATTTTAAGCCTGCTATTGAGAACTACTGCTTGGAAAAAACAAAGAAGAACATTCCATTCATAATATTACTGCTCACAAACAATGCTCCTTGTCACTCAAGAGCTCATATGGAGATGTACTTGGAGATTAATGTTTTCTTTCCTGCTA